AGGAGAACCACGAAAATCTCCTACGGTTAGCACGATGGCAAGGGGACTCTAACCCGTGATCCATCTACCACTGAGGATAATTTACGTCAGCACTGTGGTTGGTGCGAACCGAGTGAGGATTCCGTAACTACCAGTCATCGCTGGGATTCGAACTCGGGTCACCTCAATGGGACCATTTTCGAAAGTAAAAGATATCGGTTTTTAATACACGCTTGACCTCTTTTAAAACATTATATGTTGAGGTTTGTATCTTCCAGTAGTGTTATTTTCAGCATCTAATATAAAACTCTGATTGTTCCGAAAATTTTATTACCTTATATTTTTGAATACATGCAGTGCGAAAAATAAAAATAAAACACCTTGATAACTTATAATCACTGATCTTTACGTATTCACATGCAATCTAATGATTTGAAAGAGTAACCTTAAATATGCTGTATATGTTGCACTGGCGATATTTTAAGTAAAGAAAGCTGACACAGAAAAGTAAGTTCTCCGACTAAACATACGGGTTTTTTTTCCCTCGACATTTTCTGATTCTTGATCCTCAAAATATGGGTGGCTTTAACAATCTGGAAAATATGGTTCAAACAGTTTAATCAAGAGCACGGTCGAGAAATTTGATCCTTTAGTCTTACTTTATATATTTTGTCACATAAAGGGAATTTTTTAACTGAACTAAAACATATTTTCATAGAAAATAATAAGGCTCGTTTATCAAAAGGTCCTGTCTTTTTTATAGTTATTTATTTATTTAATTGAATCATGGTTAAAAAAAATATAATTATTAGGTATACAAATTTTTACTTTGCTCAGGGGATAAGCTATTCTAAACGTCCAAATCAAAACTTGAACGAAATTCACAATTTTTTTTGTTGTTGCAAGAACTATTCTAATTTTGCTCAAATTTAGAGGTTTGTCATTTAAAAAAAGTAATTTTAAAATTGTATATTTTAGAACTAAGAGATTCTCATACCAAGATATAATTATAAAAGAAAGTATATAAATTGTTGTGTTTTACAAGGAATTATGTATGGATAAACGAGTTCTATAATTATATGCAAACAGTTTTATGCTCCATTTAAATATTTCAAGTCATATGGCTAATACGTATGAAGTTATAAAAAAAAAGTTTAAAAGTAAAATTAAGGGCTCTAACTCGTTTGTCTGAAACTATGAGGACTATATTTTTCAGATTACGGTTGCTATCCATATTTAAAGAGAGTCAACATTGAAAATTTCGATTCATTTTTTTAAATTCGATTCAATTTTTCGATTATTTATTTAAACTATTTTGCAATCTTTAGTAATTTAGTTGACTAAAATTATACAGCTGATGTTGGCCTTCAAAATTGGTCTTGGATTAAAAGATTATAAATCAAGCCTTAAAATCATTTTAATCAGTGCAAGATTAAGTAAATTAAATGNCCAAAATTTTAACCTTTTTAAAGAGATATCAGTTTTAGAGATATCAGTTTTTTCATTGTTAAAAGTGATTAAAACTGCAAAGAAACTTGTCTCTGATTTGTTGTTTTATTCAAATAATTATTCTTGTATTTTGTTTTAAAATAATTAAAATGTGAAATGTTCAATATGTTCAATATATTACCTATAATTTTAAATGGACAAGTACAATTTTTTTTATAGATTTCATGTAAATTATTGTTTTTAAACAAAAAATAATTTTTAGTGTCCCGAGTGGTTGTTAAGGATGTATGTTTTTCTGAAGTAAAATATGTTCTAATTTCTAAAAAAAAAATTTTTTTTAAATCTGTAAATAAAAATTAAATCTTTGTAATCTTTAAATTAAATCTTTTAAATCTTTGTATTTGTAAATAAAATCTTTTAACTTCTAATTAAAAGTGCCATGAATTTCCTATGTTAATCTCAATCCCATGAAAACTAATATTTCATTGCAAAATCGGAACAATTTTTGTACTTAAAGTAAAATATTTATTTATCCATTTGTAATCTAATAATAAGTTTTTATATCTTAAGTTAAAGTTTTTTTTTTTCAAAGAATATTACAAAAAATTATTATTTTAGAAATAAATTAGTTACTATGCCTAAAATGCATAAAATTCTTTTAATTCTAATTTCTACTGAACTAAAATAAAAATAAATTAATTGTTTTCTGATTTAAAAACATTTTGATACTGAAAATGTTTGTAACTCCCAAAATTATTTTAATACCTTTGGAAAAAATTTGTTTCTTTTTTCCTTATCTCGTTTTTGTTTTTATTCAATATTTTTTCTCATACAATACATTTTATTTTTCTTCAAGTTAATGGTTGACGTGAAATAGTTACAACTATACCATTTACAACTACCAATATTCATTTCCGTATCCTTATAATTTTGAACCCAATCCTGCAGACAAGGAAACTTCTCGATCTTGACCGAAATTTGCCTTCGTAAATTACTTTTTTTGATGAAACCAGCCCTCATTTACGTTACGTGTGGAGGAGAACCACGAAAATCTCCTACGGTTAGCACGATGGCAAGGGGACTCTAACCCGTGATCCATCTACCACTGAGGATAATTTACGTCAGCACTGTGGTTGGTGCGAACCGAGTGAGGATTCCGTAACTACCAGTCATCGCTGGGATTCGAACTCGGGTCACCTCAATGGGACCATTTTCGAAAGTAAAAGATATCGGTTTTTAATACACGCTTGACCTCTTTTAAAACATTATATGTTGAGGTTTGTATCTTCCAGTAGTGTTATTTTCAGCATCTAATATAAAACTCTGATTGTTCCGAAAATTTTATTACCTTATATTTTTGAATACATGCAGTGCGAAAAATAAAAATAAAACACCTTGATAACTTATAATCACTGATCTTTACGTATTCACATGCAATCTAATGATTTGAAAGAGTAACCTTAAATATGCTGTATATGTTGCACTGGCGATATTTTAAGTAAAGAAAGCTGACACAGAAAAGTAAGTTCTCCGACTAAACATACGGGTTTTTTTTCCCTCGACATTTTCTGATTCTTGATCCTCAAAATATGGGTGGCTTTAACAATCTGGAAAATATGGTTCAAACAGTTTAATCAAGAGCACGGTCGAGAAATTTGATCCTTTAGTCTTACTTTATATATTTTGTCACATAAAGGGAATTTTTTAACTGAACTAAAACATATTTTCATAGAAAATAATAAGGCTCGTTTATCAAAAGGTCCTGTCTTTTTTATAGTTATTTATTTATTTAATTGAATCATGGTTAAAAAAAATATAATTATTAGGTATACAAATTTTTACTTTGCTCAGGGGATAAGCTATTCTAAACGTCCAAATCAAAACTTGAACGAAATTCACAATTTTTTTTGTTGTTGCAAGAACTATTCTAATTTTGCTCAAATTTAGAGGTTTGTCATTTAAAAAAAGTAATTTTAAAATTGTATATTTTAGAACTAAGAGATTCTCATACCAAGATATAATTATAAAAGAAAGTATATAAATTGTTGTGTTTTACAAGGAATTATGTATGGATAAACGAGTTCTATAATTATATGCAAACAGTTTTATGCTCCATTTAAATATTTCAAGTCATATGGCTAATACGTATGAAGTTATAAAAAAAAAGTTTAAAAGTAAAATTAAGGGCTCTAACTCGTTTGTCTGAAACTATGAGGACTATATTTTTCAGATTACGGTTGCTATCCATATTTAAAGAGAGTCAACATTGAAAATTTCGATTCATTTTTTTAAATTCGATTCAATTTTTCGATTATTTATTTAAACTATTTTGCAATCTTTAGTAATTTAGTTGACTAAAATTATACAGCTGATGTTGGCCTTCAAAATTGGTCTTGGATTAAAAGATTATAAATCAAGCCTTAAAATCATTTTAATCAGTGCAAGATTAAGTAATATAAATGATAGGAAATTTTTTTTTTATAAAAATTGGCATTTTGATTCTGCACTGAAAAATTTCACTAAAATGCTCTGTCATTAATGCACATATTTTTATACTCCATATCAAAAATGAAGTAAAAGAAGTATGCTAATTATTATTTAATCGAGGAAAAAACAAAAAAAATATATTGAAATGCGTTAAAATCACCATTTAAAAAGGCGGGTGTGCAAAAATAAAACCTATTTGATTGCTTATTGCTGAATCTAGTAGGTGTTTATAATAATCGCTTAGCCACTTTCCTCTGTTGCTTGCCATTATTTTGCAGATTTTTATATTCTGCACACCCATCTTTCTTAATAGTGATTTGTAAAGTTTCAATAGCGTTTTTATTTTTTACTTGCTTAATTTGCCACCCCTATTTTGTGTACTTCTCTGACTTCATATTCGAAAAAATTTCAAGCCGTGGTTGTTTAGGGGATAAAGAATTCCCCTCCGAACTAGGTGAACCGGGTTCGAATCCCAGTGATGGCTGGTAGATACGAATTCCGCACCAGGATTGTACCGACCACTTTGCTGACTTAAAATGTCCTCAGTGGTAGACGGATCATGGGTTAGAGTCCCTTTGCCTTGAGGCTATCCTTGGGAGGTTCTCGTGGTCTTCCTCTCAAATTTAACGCAAATGCTGGTTAGTTCCGTCAAAAAGTCCTCCACGAAGGCAAATTTCTCCCAATACTTTTTTCAGAAGTTCCCTTGTCTTCTGGATTGAGTTCAAACTTACAAGACTACGGATTTGAGCTTTAGTAGTTGAAAACCCAAAATTGGGTAGGCTGTTCAACGACGGTTAAAAAATAAAGTAAAAAATATTATTTTTACCGTGAAAGTTTTAAACTTAAGGCTAAATTTATACACATGATTTATGTATAATTATATAAACTTAATGCTAAAATTAAAGATATAATTTATGTATAATTATTTAAACTTAATGCTAAAATTAAAGATGTATTTTTTGTATAATTATGTAAACGTAATGCAAAATTTAATTATATAACTTATAAATAATTATGCCATCTCATTAAGTTAATTTCTGCTTAATGTAATTTACATGGGGAAAAAAAGTATCGTATCTCCTTACCTCTTTGGCGGTTTCTTGTTGAATTTTGTTGATTTGTGATGACAAAACAAATACAAGAAAATAACCAGCATCTCAAAATAAACTTTATCATCTTTGCATGAGGTTAAAAGCGACTACTTGTTGCAATGAGAGTGTATCTTGCCAATAATTTAATTCGAATGCGAGATTACTTTTTTGCTGCTTGTAGGGCTAAAAAACTAAATGTTTCAAAGTACGGCCATCTGTTCTGTATCTTTAGCATGTAAGAGATATGCCACATTTTTATATGATTCTACTTAGCGATACTTTCACGTCTATCATACGAGGGGGAGGCAGTAAAATTTTTTTTTTTCTTTCGTTCTAACTCTAGATATTTAAGATCTGTGATGATGAAAGTGTGTTGGAAGTAATTTTGAATGTCATCGTAAGTTTAGGCTTTTATTGTTATTTTTTTTAAAGGTCAAGAACATTGAAGTAGTGGGGTAAAAAATAAGAAAAAAATTTTTAGGGAAATATTTTTTTAAGAATACATTTTAGCACTGTAATTTCAAAAAACAGTAATTTTATGCATTTTGTTAACAATTTTTTCGATAAACCATCAACAGTGTTACGGCTGTTTTTTTTAATTATTTTTCAGAAATAAAATGCTATTTTTATAACTGTAGTGCACAAAAATGGTTAAATAACAGTTTGTTTACCATGCTTAAACAAGACCGTCAAATAACCATAACTAGAGTTTTTTCAGTAGTTTTAATGCAAAGCATTTTTAATTAATAAATTTTTTTAATTATTAATTAATCTATTTTTAATAAATTTTATGTATTACCAAACAAAGGAGTAATCTTCAAATTATGATGAAATTAATGAGAATTTATGCAAATTACATGTGAGCAAAATGTACTGATTCATCAAGATACTCAAAAAACTCGACTATTAACTTTTCTTGCAATGGATTTTATGCATCCACTGCAAGAAAAGTCTATGTATGCAGTAATAATTCAAGAATAATATGTCTCTCTTAACTATCTAATTTATAAATACTATTCGAGAATATAAGTTTTAATAATTTAAAAAACTGATAATGGTATAAATAAAAGTTAGATAAAGGAGAAAAAAAAAACATCTACTGAAACATGGCGTTATTCATTCATGAACTTCCGAAGATAAACTAGTATAAACAATAAACATTAGCCGAAGTTCGTAAATAGCCTCTGATTGGCTGTATGTGAAGACTGAGAAACGCAACGAACTGAGAGAATTCGTAGAAACGACCAATCTCAAAAATTTAAATACGTTGTCCTTATTATAGAATTAGCGAATGACTGACTGAAAGTCGATTAGCGTCTTTAGCGTTCTTCACCTGAGCGTTTGGAATTTTCGTCCGTTTTCAAATTTTTAGAACAAACAAGATGTTTTTTTAAAATCTTTTGCTCATTTATGTTCTATTGAAAATACCATAAGTTATTTATTTAGTATAAAAAGTTTTATTACGAAGGAAGAAATATCTTACTTGTCGATATAGCAAAATTTGAGTTTCTCCTCCTCATTAAATTCAAAGATCACGACCAAAACTGACCATGGGGAAACAGATTAACTTCCATGTTAGGCCTATCCATATATTAAGATTTAACTCCAACATTGAAACATTATACACACATTGTAATTATGTTGTTGTTTCTAATGCCACTTGCCACACGGGAAAGCCTGCTTGGTGAAACCGAGCAAATTTAAGGCAGAGTGTGAGTTTCTTGTTTTTCAGTGGCGCCATCTATGGTCAAGAATTCGACTTCTGTCACACCATACGTCGCACCCGTTTATTGGGCGGACCTATTCATTCATCCATTCATTCATCCACAGATCGTAATTTTGACCTGAATCAGAGAACGATCGATCTCCAATCCAGTACCCCCAGAGGTTTTGATTTGTTATGGGAACATGGAGAACTTTTGCGACCCGACAGATTTAACGTGCATCAGTCACTTTACTACACGTGGAGTCTTCGGCCGGCGGGGTTCGAACCCACGAACTCTCGGACATGTGCCCAGTGCCCTACCGATCAGGCTATCCCGGCCCACATTGTAATTATATTTCTGCTTAGCAGTTATTGGTAAAATGAGATAGATTATATTCCAGCAATTTATATCAACATTACGTTTATATCTTGATTTCCAATTAATAGCATGAATGAAATTAAATAAATAAAATAATTTTTTTCCAAAAAATGTTTATTTGTTGAGAATTGTTAGGCGTTTTATTTCATGACATACAAAAACCTGTAACATGATTAAATAAAAAAAATACATATGGTAGACTGTAAATTCCAAAGCGTTTAAACATATTCAGATTTCAGATATGATAATGATGTAAATTATTTTCATCATTATCATTATCAACGACTCAATTGACATAATGGTTATATTCAAGTTAATCACTTAATGTTGGATGGACATACAAATGTGAGAAATAAATGAGTGTTTTTGTCATTTTGCATCAAGTTATTCAGCAATAAATAGTGTTTGATTAGAATATTTCAACTTGGGTGATTAAAAATTACTTTGGAATTTCTCTGTTTAAAATTACAGATAGAAATTTTTTTTAAGTTTCAAAATTTGTTCAAAATTGTCTATTGATATGAAAGTTCAAAATTCTCTATTGTTATTTAAGTTCATATGCATCAATAGAGAATTTTGATTCTCTATCTAATGTTTAAGTTCAAAATTCGCTATTGATATGAAAATTATTTCTTCATATTTCTTATGGTACATGATTGAACTATATCAAATGCCATTTGAGTGGCGTTTTTAAATTTGAGGAAAAAAAAAGGAAAATTGTAATTTTTAAAAACTGTAAACTTCAAAACGTCGATACGTTGCTATTTAAGTTAATTACAAGCAAACTACAATATTACGTTAGAAACACTGCTAATAAGTTAGAGAATCCAATATTTCCATAAAGGTTGAGGAAAGCATTTATAACGCTTTTGCACCCATAAATATAAAAAGGAACATATAACGAGTAAATAAATTAGTCTTATGACATAAAATTGAACAATAAACAATGCATGCATTATTTGGCAATGAGAATAAGATAACAAAGCTTTACATTATCGTAGTTAACAACATTGCATTGGAAATTGTTGTATTAAGACATGTATTTGCTGAAATCTTTATTTAGGAAACTCTACTGCGAATTTTTCTTCATTCCTGGGTTCTAGCATATAGTTCAGCAAAGGTACTAAATTTCTGAAGTAATAATAACTATATCAGTTATCAATAATATATTGCTGAATCATAAATATATCAAATATCATAAAGATATTGCTGAACAGTTGCAGCAGACATGCGTATTCATTATCCATAATCAGTTACAAAAATTCATCTTTTTGCAAAGTTTGCTCTAGAACTGAAAATATTTGGCAAATGGAGTTCTTTTTTTATCCAAGATAACATTAAATGTACAATAATATATTTTTTTTTAAGTTGAATTAGATATTCTACCTTAAAGGATGGCAGGATTCTATAAATCGAAATTACTGATAAAAATTCACTGAAAATCTCTCCAGATTTTACATTTGAAATAGATCTTCAACTCAAAATAAGTAATACACATGCGTAACATCTAAAAAGTAATTCTTACTCACAGCATGGATCTGAGCTGAAATGTAGATCTTTTAATTCTAGATCTTGTCAATGACAAATGCAGATTTCAAGAAAAGTTTTACTCACAAACGAGGTATTTAAATTTGCACTTTGAGAAATTTGCTTGCACGAAGGGTATGACTTCCAGTTACTTTAAATGTTTAAACGATTATTTTCGAACATCACATGAAGTTACCCAAATTCACGCTTCCATTCTTTGCAGGATGACGGGGCAGTATGACTTAGAAATACTGTTAAAAGTCGTAGATTGTTTAAAATTCCCGACAAATCTATTCAGATCTAACATTTGAAATAGATTTTTTACTCAAAATTGATGTAATGCGCTTGCATAAGTTCTAAAAAGTAAATCTTATGCACAAAATCCTGCTCACGAATGTAGTCTTATCTTGTCAATGAGTAATGCCGGTTAGATAAAAGTCTCAATCGCAAAACTACTTCAGTTTGTGCATTGTGGAACTCATTTACATGAATGATTTTTATACTATTTCAGTTAATTTAATTGATGATTTTCGAATATCACATGGACTTATCCAACCTCCAAAAGCTTTTTCCAATTCTCTTGCTGCAGCAATTGTTAAACTATCTCGATTCATACCTCCAATCACTTGAATTCCCAGAGGCAAACCTTTACTGCTCATTCCTAATGGGCACTGGGTAACAGGTAGACCAAGAATGTTGAAAATGACGCTATAGCCTATATTAAAAGGACGGAACAACATTTCCATGTGATATGGAGCAGTGACCGGGTAAGTTGGATAGAGGAATATACCATCATCGCCAAGAAGCTCATTGAATTCTTGCAAAAGTTCGTCTCTCATCTTGAAGAAAGGCTCAGCTAACTTCGAATCATATTTTCTGATGTATCTATCCAAGATTGCAAGACAGATAATGGGGAATGTATGTTTTGATTTACCAGCCATGGATTTGAGAACTTCTTTGCTGAGATTTAATTTTTTTTGGTAGCCAACGATTTCGTTGCAGAGTTGCTGGTCATTAAGGGTCTCAATTACGCAAACCCATGTTTCAACAGCATCTTGCAGTTTTTCTTTGAAGATTTTCTGTGGTGCTTGCTCGCAGATGTCCTCGAAATGATTAACTGCCTGAAAAAAAGTTTAATATCATGTTTAGATTTATAAGCTCATTAATTATAAGATTCTTTACAAAATAAATGATGCAGTGGAATCTTTTGTTCCACGCTGGAAAGAAGTAAATATTATTTGAATCACATAAACTAGCTTATCCAGCTACGTAACTTATTGTGAAGTTTTGATTCCTTCTTTAAATTTATCAATTTCTGTGATGTAAATATTTTTAACAAATCAGCAACAAAGATTCTAAGTGGGCATAGGTGTATCTAGGGTACATAGTGCCTGTGACAAATCTCGAATCCTTTTAAAAAATATTGTATTTTCTTCTATTTTTTAAGATGCAAAATAAAAACATTATTTTAAGAATGCAATCATCTTGGCAATACAATAAAAGATTGCATTGTATATAATCAAAATTTTTCAAAAAATCTACTACTCTAATTTTATCTAATCTTACATTTACGCTTATTAAATTCGTCGTTGATTTGAAATATTAAGTCATTACAAAATACTTATGTTATTCATAATTAAAACAGAAGAAACAAAAGCAAAAACACTGATTTTATGCAGCAAAGTTAAATTTTAAAGTTTTTCAAATATGATATGGTTAAAAAAATTTTGCTCAGAGAATTTTTTAAAAGGATAATAACAAAGGATAGAAATAAATCCTCATCATTATTAGTAAGTGAACTAAAGCAAGCTGTTACTTGAAAAAATGAACATTTTTTTCTAAAGGAAGATAATAAAATTTTAAGAATCTTCTGACTACACGTATTCTTATCAAGTCAAATAAATTCTTGCAACATTATTAATTAATTAAAGAGCTCAATACAAATAATTACAACCGATTATGGCAATTGCTAATAAAACAATTAAATTGTCTGTTTTTGTTAATTCATTAAAAAACATCATTGATTAGAGAAAAAAAAGCATTAATAGCGATATTTATATAAAACTCTTCTTGCAATCAGAAGAAAAAAAAAGACGAGCTTTTTTTGAATTTTTTCTTTAAAATATTAAATCGCTCAACGCTATTGTTTAAATTGTATTGCAAAGAACATTTCGAGAAAAAAATTCAAACTGACCATTAAAAATTTGCAAAATGCTTGGTTTTACAATTTTTCTAAATCTGTACAATGCGCAAAAAAAAGAAGAAAAAAAAAAGAAAAAAACGTAAGCACCCTGAATAACTTTCAATCCAATGATCGGAATTTTTTTTCGGGAAAGTTATGTGTTGCTTTTCATGATTAAATATAAAATAAAAATTCAATTATTTATTTTTAAAATGTAAAGACAGCGACTACACAAGGATTCCTTAAAGGCACATCTTTCATCTGTTTTTATTTTCTAGAACAGAAGGGTGTATTCAATCTTAAATCGTTTGATTGGTTCAAATTAGTTGTCAAGCAAGCGCCTCCTTATTTTAGTACTTATTATAGCTCTTATGATTCCTCACCATGGGTGGCAAAAATCTCCTTTTTGAGAGAGATGAGTGTTTTTTCTTCTTTCTCACCAATTTGCAAAAAGGTTTTTCTTAAAAAATTTTTCACAACTAAGTAAATTAAGTTAAAAAAGCATATCTAAAAATAAGTTTGGAGACAGCTGGACACTGGGCTGGGTGACACCTCATGACTTTCACAATTTCAGATTTGTACTTTACTAAAGATGCTATATTTTCGGGTCAATGAAGGGGTTTCACGTCCCCTCGCCTAGTTACATAGTCATTTTTAATAACTATACTAGGAGGCTTTGCCCCCTGCTCGCTGGCGCTCGCCAACCCCCGGAACTGCTTTCGCAGTTCATTTCGGATTGCTTCGCAATCCGATGCTCGCTTTGTTCGCTCAAAGGATACGTTCTTAACGTCTAGCTTTTGGATACTTTTTTGAACACTAAAGTTCCGAAAACTTTTCACTGTAGAACATTCTAAACATGTACATTTCAATAATAATTTGAAATTACAAACAGTTGGAATTCGGTGAGAATCGAAGACAAATGCTATTGTGTTTATGTAATGAGTTCACAACTTCTTAATTATGTGGATAAATACGAAAAAAAGTTTAGAAATTTGTACAAAACGCCTACAATTAAAAATGAAAACTGTTGCCAACGCGAGAAAAGAAATATCATCGGTTTTATTGATACATACATACATATTAGCGTTTCATATAATATCGATAATTAGGTTTCCCTTTACAATAGGGAAATGAAGATGCACAAAATGTATAGCCGAAACAATGAGGAAAATGTGTGACCTGGATATTTGGCATAGGTTAGAAGAGAAGATAGAACGAGCTCTGTCTGCTGGAAAACATTTAAGGACTCGCTTTTTAATCAATTTTAATATTTTTTAGGGAATATTAAAATGAATTTACTCAACCTATAAAACAAAGCAGAAACAAAATATTTTTATTTTCATAATAGCAATAATAATAAATAATGATGAAGTAGAAGAGCAATAAAATGAAGAAAAAAATTTTTGGTGCCCTTTTTCAAATAATGAGCCCATTGCAAAATGCCCAACTTGCCATACCCTAGATTCACTACTGTAAAATAGGGCAGTGAAATACGTACAGGGCTATAGTTAAAGTTACACTGTTTACACCAACATAAAATTCGTTTTTTTGAAGGTAGATGAAACTTGATATACATGCGTTATATGGACCATAGATGAAAATAAAAATATAGTTCAAATTTTGAATACCTGGTAAGAAAAATAATGTGCACATAAAAACTTATATCTTTGTTTAATCACCGACAACACGAAAAGTTTTCGGTCTATAGCAGTAACAATCGACCCAAGCATGACGTGTTATGCTTGCTTTCAATTATTTTTCTCTTGAATATCATTTTTGTCTTTTTTTCTTGCAGTATACCTTTAAGTTCCCAGTCTCTTCAAAGTTAGTAGTCATCATTTTTACTTCTTTCTACTTTAATGATATTATGCTGAATGATTTTATGGCAGTAATTACTGTTTTTTTAAAACGTTCGCAATGCATGAAGCTATATTTGCCATCCATATTTTCTTAAAGTATTATGCAGATTTCTTTTTCTTACAGTCCATATAATGCATATATATATAATATATGTGGGGGCGAGTTGTTACCGTCCACGTCAACTGTCATCTATGAAAAGGTACTCCTACATGGAGTCGAGTTAACGCGTCTTATATACTAGTGAATTGTAGTTGTAATTTTGTGGTAGATACACTACAGCACTCCCCCACCAGAATTATAGCAGCGATAGAATTCGATGAACGGATACCACTAGTTGAGTTATTGCTGTTTTGTGAAAAGCCGGGAGTTCTGTATTAAGATCACCGTACTTTTCGAGTGCTGAATGTGAGAGGTGTATTAACTTCACGGTCGTAGTCGCTCCTGTGTTGCCGTTAGCAGTCGAGTGTATGCAAGCCGACGTTGTGCGTGATCGAGACGAGACTGAGTAGCAACAGTGCGAGGAGGTGGATAATGTCGCAGTCACAAGTAGCAAGTCAACTATTCAATGTGGACCATCCATCGAAGTAGGCGTGTTCACATCACGTCCGAAGGTCACCAATGTGGGGGCGAGTTGTTACCGTCCATGTCAACTGTCATCTATGAAAAGGTACCTCTGCATAGAGTCGAGTTAACATGTCTTATATACTAGTGAATTGTAGTTGTAATTTTGTAGAGGTAGATACACTGCAATATATATCAAGTTTCATTGACATAATGGTAACGAATATTGTTGTACAGTAGCGAATATTTGTTGATCTAAACAGCCACTAAATAAACATACTAAATAATAGAAACTGATATTTATAACTTTTAAAGTTATATTTATCCTTTCAAGACATTAAAATGAATAAAATATGTATTAAATGACAATCCCTATAAAATACCTTTCTTAAAGCTTTTTTAATTCCTCTGGATACAGGAGTTCGAAAAGGATAACCTCCGTCATCTTCCATGTAAAATACACGCAATTTCTTTACATTAACCTGTACAATAATAATCAAAACTGTTTATTAGAATTATTAGCAAATAATCAACAGAGTAAACTTTTTTTTACATGGGAATGTTTTTATTCATTATTTCATGAAACAGTTCATTTTTATGCACATTTTAAATAAAAAAACATATCTATACAGGTTGTTCCATAATGCCTACACTTAACCTTTTGGTAACGGTAACGCATACTACAAATATATCACATGTGCTGTTACAACATTGTAACCCTTAGAGAAGAATTAACATGCGTACATATTTAGAATCCGTGTCAAATGTGAAGTCTAAATTCTATGCATATCTAGGAGTGCCAAATTAAGATCGAAACAAAGAAAAGAATCAAAAATGTTATCGAAATCAGACGAATCATTATTGAGGTAGAAAATCCTAGATTAATATTTTTAAAAACTATTTTATTGCTCGTTAAAACTTGAATGTGCTTATAATAGAGAGATTTTGCATCCCTTACCTCTCATTTATTTCTACCTTCTTCTTAAATTTATCATCACAACCGCGACCAGTAATTATTTTGGGCACGCTAAGTGTGGATTTTTTTTGAGTGATAGGATGAAGTTAGCCAGACGGAGAGGGGGGCAAAATTGCCCTAATCATAGTCTTTCAACTCTTCTCTGTGTTTTCTTAGTTACATGTTTTGATGTGAAGTCAGTCAGATTTTCGTCAGATTTGGTATTTGTCAGATTTTTTTTCCAACGTCTACCCCTCCCCTAAATATTAGTTTGCGATCCTTAATATGCATATTTTTTTGCCAAGTATTTAAAATATACATTAAGATCAATAGTTACAGAACCCAACACTGATTACGTGTAAAAAGGATTCAAGTTATCACAGTTCTAAATTTCGCTTCTGAATATTTCCTCGCAAAAAAAATCCCTTATAAAATTAAGATTCTAATTTCAAAATCTTATATATTCTTAATAGGCTTCACTTAAAATCAGCTTATGTTATACTTTAAAAGTCAATAAGGTTTTGAATTAGAATTCAAATTAACTTGATAAAAATGTCATATCCTTTATTTAAAAAAAGCAATAGCGTTGTTTAAAATACCTAATGAATCATTTAAATACCTCTCACCTAAATTATTTCTTATGATTTATTTTTTATATCGTCACAATTACAGTTTTTATATGACTCCAATTCATTTCAATAACGTCATTTAAAATAACTAATGTATTATTTAAATATCTTATGCCTAAAATATTTTTACAGTTTATTTTTATATCGTCACAATTACAGTTTTTATATGACCCCAATTCATTTCAATAACATCATTTAAAGTACCTAATGAATAATTTAAAGCCTCGTACCTAAAATATTTGTATAATTTATTTTTATATTGTCAAACGCTATGTCAAACACTATTTTTATATTGTCAAACACTAACACATCTAACATTGTAAATTCGTAAGAAATACAATTGAAAAAATTTTTTTTTGAAAATTCATATAATCGTGTTGTTTTCAATTTCACCATTCAAAAGGTTTTTTGAAATAATGTAAAAAAATTTCTTATAATACCATAAACCTTGTTAAAAGTGAGTTTTGGAATGTGATTAAGGCGTTTAAATTTTGAACAATTTATTTTGTGCCAATGTGCTTTCATATTATACAAACTGAAATATGTACTTATCACCAATACTAACAGTGAGTATTTGGAATAAAGAAATTCCTTTATGCATTGACAGTCATATATATACACTAGAAGGAATACACTAGAAGGATTTTAAAATATTCGTTTTCATTTATTTAATGGTTTTAGGGGCCAAAAAGAGGTTTCATTACAAATAACTTCAAAAGGAATACAGCATTTTTAAATTTTTTCCAAATGTACATAAATTAAATTTTTTTAAAATATTAAAGTCTGAAATTAAGGTCTCGAATAATTATAAAATAAGTGATAAATGATTGACAAAGTAAAAAATAAAATATCAATATTTTTACTTGTATCTGGAAATAGTAATAATCTTAATGAAGGATTGTCATCTGCCGGTAATGTCATGTTTTTTAAAGTTTATTTTTAAAGGTCATGATTAGGGTATTCAAATTTAAAACAATATTGTTTTGTCATTTGAAAATGGATTTAAATGTCAATGCGGGTAGCTATATACGTTTTAAAATTTTTTTCAACAAAAAAGCAAATCGATGTTGCCGAAACTAATCTGTTTTAACTTATGACCTTTAAATAAGAGTTAATGTTATATAAACAAAGCAAATATCTTTAAAGATCGCTAATTAGAGTATTTCGTACATTTGTAACTCTAAATAGTGATTAAAAACACATTAATAGTAGTAAAAAATATAAGAAATAATAATAATGAAAAACTAATAAGCAACAATAATAATAAAAAATATATAAGCAATAATAATATTTAAAAAAAATTCAGATGACTCAGAAACAGTTTCAGTGACATCATTTAAAAGTTATTTGAAATATCTATTGTATATTTTTTTACTGACCTTATAATCATAATAAATATTCTAACAAATTAAAATTTATAAAAAGTATTTCTTTAAGAAAAATTGTTTTTTTTTTTTTAATTTTTTAATTTTTAGATTTAACATACCTGATTTAATCAGAATTACATTATTCGAAAAATAATTAAAATGTATGTGTAATTTATTCTCATAAGGAAGTGAACTTTCAAACATACTTATTTTTATATAACTGCTACAGATGTTTTCCAATATACTACTATTGGTAAACATTCAATTCATAGAAAATACGTAGGAATACATAGGAGAATTCATGGGGAATGCAATGAAAATTTTCGCGAGAGTGTTTTTGTGCAATTACATCAATCTAAAGGTTGCTAAAATACCTTTAGAATTATCCCCATATTGTCAGAAATAACTTTCAAAGTTATAATATTTTTATCATAAAAATAAAATTCATAAAAATTATTTTTCTGAAATTAGTATAATTGTTTTAGTTGCAATTACATTTTTCAAAAGCTAGCTAAAATATGTGTAGAATTATTTTCTATTGAAGTACCTCAAATCTGCTTATTTTCATAAAATACGTATTCATAATATTTTTTTTAACTATAGATAGTTGTTTCAGTTACAATTACATGAGTCAAAAAATAACTGAGACTTCTATTACCGGAAATATCTTCCAATGTATTATTTACACATTATAAATTAAGTTCATAAAAAAATATAATGAATACTTTTTTTAAGGTTCATATAATTGTTTTATTTACAATTACACCGCCAAAANAAAAAAAAAAAAAAAAAAAAAAAAAAAAAAAAAAAAAAAAAAAGAACTAAATTTTCCGAAGAATTATTCCTCACATTGCCTTAAATGTCTTCTAAAATACTATACTATTATTTTTATAAAAATCAAAACTAATTAGAAGTATTGTTAAAAAATTTATATAATTGTTTTAAAAACTAATTTATTAATTGCACGCATTATTTTTCGTTTTTTTTACTCCCTGAATTCAGGACTCACAGGATCATCTAATTTCAGCAAGTCCTTTTTATCCGATGTCATGATTTTCATCATGGGAAGCAGATCAATTGCGTATCGGCACATGGGCCCAGTACCGATCATTTGACGAACAGCTTCTTTGACGACTGGATATTGATTTCCATTAGATACAGCTCCTTTATCAAGAGATAAATATTAATAGTCTTAATACATTAAAACATTCATGTAGTAGAAATAAAGAGAATTTATTCATTCATTTACTTTTAATTTAATAATAAATTCTTTTAACTATAAAGAAAAGAATTGCTTTATTTGAATCAATTAAACAATTTTCTATGCAGAGTGATTGAAAATTATTTTTATCAAAAACAACAACGTATTTCAATTACAGTAGGATAAGAAACATAATAAGTAATCAATCCTAATGAAAAATCTGTTTGCATCTTTTCGTCATTTTGCGTCAGAATCCTAAAATTAGGACAGCTGGTGCAAAAAGTATTTTTAGCCCCATCCTAAAAATTTTAATTTGTCCATTTCAGAAGAACGTGTGAAAAGCGAATTCTTCTATTACAATCAGCATTACCTATTCCATGTAATTTAAATTGAGATAGCTTTTTTTCATTTATTTAATATATAACGCCAGTTATGTTTTTTAACTTACAGCTCTAGTTGAACAAAAACGAGTTTCACTAAGAGATTATTACACATTTTTTTCAAAATTATTCATCTATGATTTTTTATGTCATTTAAATACAGTTTAACTAAACGTGCAGTTCTTGGGATCATGGAGACGTCAGAAGTCAGAGAATTAGTATTTCGAAAGCTATTTGAAAGGACAAGTTTATTTTGTTCAACGCATTTCTATAAATTTAAATAATACAAAATCACGAAAAGTTAAAAGGAAATTAAGATTAAAATTGTCAATTAATCGGGAAAATCGCTTTATTGTAATAAAGCTTGTCTATGACTGAAACTTGGCAGCTCTTACTTACATCATTTTCAATGTTTAATTAATAAGTTAATATTTTAAATTAGTTTGAGTTACTGATCTTTTGATGAATTGAAGTTCTAAAAACATGTTTGTTTAATTCAATACGGCTTAGTTCCCTGGAAGGGCAACAAATAATAAGAAAAGGAATTAATTAAAAAAATTTATTGTTACCATACACTTTCAATTTTGTGCACGATTGGGTAAGAACAAACGTCTATTAATTATTTAAAAAAATTTTTTTACCTTGTGCGGGTGCTTAGCACATATCACACAATTTGAGAAGATAATTACCCAAATTTGGGCAACTTTTTTTAATACAAGTGATGGAAATATTTATTGTAATTCAGAAATCTATCATAGCATACACGATTAAGATATTGTATACCAGGCATTTTTTTTTCCTTCACAAAACATGGAAAGCTTAATAAATTTAAGCATGGATAAGTAAAATTTTTTCCAAAAGTAGCATTTTCACACTATACAGTTCCTTAATATTGTTTTTAGGTAAGTATTCAAAAGATTTTGAGAAATTCTACCAGTTAATAGTATAATACTCAGAAACATAACTGCCTGGATAGAAATCGCTGCGTTTTTCACTAAAAAAAGCTCTTAAAAGACGTTCTTCTGACCATTTTTAAAACTGTGTGGCTTATAACTGTATCGCTTTATGTAAACTATTTAGTCACATTAAGTAAAAATATAGATCAACATCAAGTATGTAAAGCAGATTAGGTAACATAGCTGCCAGAATTTCAAAATGAAGTTTAGGGAAATTTTCATCTGAACAAATTAAGAGAAATAAAACTATCTGCTCTAGTGGATTTTTCAAATAAGAAAAGGGATTTTCTCAATATATTTTTAAATGATAATCAATTAGTAACATTTACACTAATGACCGTAGATAACATTTATACTAATGATCCAATATTAGTCCCTTCTAATGACTTAAAGCTTAAAGCATTATTAATTAGCTGTTCATTCCGTTGAGAAATTTGTTAATCTTTAAACTACATTTTTTAGTCTAAAGAATTTAGTTTCAGCTTAGCTTTAGAAAGTTAAGTAAGACTTAGATAAATAATGTAGTGTATTCTAATTTGCTAAAAAAGTTTCATGAAAATTTTATAGCGATGTAATGACAGGTATTTAATGCAAAAGTTGAATATTTTGATTATGGCATGAAATCTATATGAGAACATTTAAGAATACAGGCTGAATTAATGAATGCAGGCTAAACTAATTATAATAGTCAGACGAGAATTCTAAAAAACATCAGCAGTAAGATTTAAAAGAAAACAGTTAAAGTAAAAAGGCGTTTAAAGGTTACAGTGAAGTATCCGCTAGCTTTATATTTTAACCTTGTATTTTTGCTATGAATTAGAATACCAGAGCATAGATTTCAGGAAGGTGAAGTTTAGATTTTACTTGAATTTTATTTATGTATGAAAAAATCTATTCTGAGATAACCAATTTAAATTAACCTCTTGATGGTTTGTGCCCGAATATTCCACTGAATAGAGCTGGAATCCGTATACTTCCTCCAAGATCTGTTCCGATGCCTATTACTGAAGCTGCAGCCGTTAACAGTGATGATTCACCTCCTGGAATATATATTTGAGTTTTGATTATTACATTATTTTAAGTAAGATAAAGGATTGTTGATTGTGTAAGATACAGGTATTAATTTCCAGAACTGATCTAATAGAGCGATTAAACCCTGAGAGTATTGTATTAATTACATTTACAACATTTATGTGCTTTGGAGTAACTTCGAGCTTCCGTAATGCACTTTTGTACTCGGCTCTATAAGTTCCTGTAACAAAACCCCGAAAGTATTGTGTTAATTACATTTGCAACATTTAATAAGGTTCGAATTAATTGCCTGCTTCCGTAATGCACTTTTGTGCTCGGCTATATAAGATCTTGTGACAAAACCCTGAAAATATTGTGTTAATTACATTTACAACTTTTAATAAATGTAAAAGTAACTTCCAGCTTTCGTAATGAACTTCTGTACTCGGCTAAATAGATCCTTGTGACAAAACCCTGAAAATATTGTGTTAATTACATTTACAACATTTAATAAATTTCGAAGTAATTTATAGCTTCTGCAATGCACTTCTGTACTCAGTTATGTGATAACTAAGTTCTCTTTAGACATGCTTTTCTCTATTGAAATGCTTTTCTAAAGAGAACTTAGTTATAACAAAGATGAGAAATACTTTTCTAAAGAGAAGATGTCAAAGTTTTCTTGATGTCTTCAACATACCATCTTGTTCCTTAAGCAAACTTTTCAGTTTCAGAAACAAGAAAAAGCCCACAGTAATAGGTTTATTTCCCATCTGAAGCCGAAAAGTTTGACGATGGAAACTAGGTTTAAAGATATTGAAGCCACTAGATAAGCCCTGACATCATCATTCCAAAAGATGACTTATTTCAATGGTATTTCAAACATTTTTACAGCCAAGAATAAAAGTGCATTACGACAGGTAAACATTATTTCGAAACTTAAATGGTCATGTTATTCACATAATATTTTCAGTTATATTTATTTTAGTCCTGGAAATTAATATCCTTTCATGCATTATTATGATATGTAGTACAATATAATGCAGACTATTCCACAAGCGTCACTTTATCGTATATTTTTAGAATTCTTGATAAAAATAATATTAAAAAAAAGCGTATTAAGGATAGCATAGTAATATTTAACTAGAAAAAAAAATTATACCATAAGCTTTCAAATCATAATTGGTGAAAGTGAGATTGAAAGCATAAGTAACAGTGTGAATACCATATAAAATTTAAAGATGTTTTTAATAATTGCCTTTCATTTTCTCTCAGTTTCCTACGATTACGTTTTTGTTTTTTCCTCACTTGTACGTTAATTTGCTACTTTCAATACGTATATTGACTTCCTTTTTGTTAATGATTCTAAAGATACAGATTAAAAGCGATGATTACGGAGAGCACCCTATATAATTCCCCTACTTGAGCCGGCACAGGGGATACTCGCCCTCCAGTGAGGTGACCCGGGCTCGAATTCCAGAAATGGCTTGTCGATATGAACAAGGCTCGCACCAACCACATATCGTAAAATATAATCAGTAGTAAACGGATCATAGGTCTCCTCGCCGTCAGGCTAACCGTGGGATAAATCGTGGTTTGTTTTCCCATGTGACGCAAATGTAGGTTAGTTCTATCAAAATGCCCTTTATGAAGGCAAATCTCTCCCAATACTTGATCCAGGAGCTCCTTTGTCTTCTGGATTGGATTCGAAATTGCAAGAGGCTACTGAGTTAAACATTGGTAGGCTTAAATTCGAAATTGGGTCAGCTGTTCAACGACAGTTATAAAATCAAATTCTCCAGCTTATGTCACTTTGCTTTGCACCCATTAATGTAACATAAATTATTCTACATTATTTCTTTATGGTAGCGTTTTATTATATTCAATATTCAATAATCATATGCTTTGTAATTGTTACAATAATCTTATGATTTTTGTAATATTCAGTAATATTGCATATATTAACAGCATTTTACTATGTTATTGAACTATTTTTGAAATTTCTGACATGATAGCATATTAATTTATCTACTAACTTATTTTTTTTAAAAAAGACAAAAATAATAATTCATTCATTATAAAAAACGAAATCAATAAATAATAAAAAATATAAAATTAAATAAAACAAAAATATAATAAAAAATTAATAATCAATTCATTTCTTAAGGTTAAATTTTATAATTAAAATTTTTATGATCATTTTATGAGATTTAAAATGCATATTTATTTTAAAAAAGTACATAAAAATATAACTTGAAAATAGCTATTTTTATTGTTTATAATAAATTAAATAATATGCGATTATTAATTTTACTGTTTAATTCAATAATTCAAAAAGTCAAATTGTACGCATAAGAATTAGTACATTCCGTAAAAGCAATTTAACTTTCAACATCAAAAACAAAAATTTGTGCAACGTAAGTTCCGCGAAGAAAAAAAAATGTTTCGAAATCTTATGTATCGAAAAACTACTTAGTTATTATAAAATAAAAAACTAAGAAGTTAGTAAATAAAGATAAAAAAACTATTCTTATGGATGAAATTATTAGCGCACTTTACAAGATTTACAAATCGGCACAAAGAATTTTTTCGGTTGAAAAAAAAAGTTATCTTTAGTGGAGAAAGAACCTTTTTCGTCACTTTACGTCTGACTTAAATTATCTTAGGCTCTGCTCTATTGAGAATATCTTAAGTTGTAGATGAGTCTCGAACTATTATGATTGCTTTATTGGGCATAATTATCCAATCTTAGAATAAAAGTGATTCATTATGTAATAAACGTTTTAGATAGAATATTTAATATTAGAAAGCTAATAAATAAGTATTTAAAGCTTTCTTTTGGATGAAGTTATTTTTGAACAACTTTAAACATTTATATTTACTTTATATTTTAATTTACTGTACAACTCTGTATTGAGGCTTATTAATATTTAAAACATTAATTGGCAATATTTAATTTAGTAGATGGCAGCACTACGATTATAAAATAGTGTTATTTAAGTCAGTTAGGACCATACTAGCATGAAAATTAAAGCAACAAAAAAGTATGCATGTTAAATAACAACCCTATGAAAATAGTTTAGCACATAAAAAATTTTGAAAAAAAAAATAGCATTTAAAAATACAATTTTCTTTACAGAAAATACAGAAGAGTACTGTTACAATACGGATGCGAATTAAGTTGGAAAAATGTCACAATGATGCTTAAGCATTTGTTACGCCACAACAGATCCCAAGTGTTTCGAAATACAGTTTTTTTGTTTCTATCAAAACATTAATACCCAATTTCTTTAATTATACACAAAAAATTAAGACAAAATTTGTCACCTTCCTTACTTCCAATGTGATACCTAATATATAAATATTTGTTTAATAGATGGCAGCACCATAATCAGAGCTGCTAGTGTAAAAAAGTTTAAATTATGCAAAACCAATTTAGGTAATACAACCACTACGGATTTTAAAATGACGTTGAGTATGAATAAATAAATGCCAGGTAAATTTTGATGAAAACGATTTTTAATCTAATTTAAATTAACTTTTTCCTACTAGTTTATTTTTATTTAATTTTAAAACAAATCAAGTTATTTTTGAATAGAACTATCAATTACCAATTTAGTTACCAAAATTATTTTTTCCTGAATCTTATTATTCGAGTTACTTGGGGCTTATTTGTCAAACTACGATTCACACAATTTGTTACATATTACAAATTTCGTTATTGTTATGTAATACATAAAATATAACCGTAAAACATTTAGACATTAGTTTTTTTAAGTTTAATGAAAAACGTATTAAATCCTCATACAGTCTGTTGGAAATAATATAAAATTTGTATCAGGAAGGACTTTTTATGTGATTATTTAGATAAAACATGTTTAGTTCTTAATAAATTATTCTAGCTAATTTCTTAATTAAAAATCAGAATTGTTTAGTTCTTATTGATTATTGAAAATAACTTATAAATAAAAATAAAGAATTAACCAAATTAAATATTACTAAAACTACTTAAAAAAATGAATGAAATAGAAGAAAGTGTTTTGCTTGTATCTAAATATCGAATACTGCCAGTAAAATATAAATATATTATGTTGCCATTTAATAACAATAGTTGCCGTTTAATAACTAGTTTGAAAATTTAGAAATACTGAGCAAAAAAGTTTATTAAATAATAGACTTCATTTCGCTGTTAGGGGATAACAACATTTATTCGTAAGTCATGCATGACTCGAATTTAATAAATTTAAAACAGCCCAAGTAGCACAGGGATATTGTAACAGCTTTAGTCTACATCGACCGACATTGTGTGTACGATATTGTACTATTCCCGTCGATTTCACATTAAGAGTCTGTTTGTAAAACTTCTCATTTTAAACTTTATTGTGTTCTTAAATCAAAATTGATCATTTAAAAGACAAAAAATGACGTCAAATTGTTATAATTCCAAAAAATAAATTCAAAATATAAATTTAGAGATATACGAAATGTTGAGAGATATCGATCGACGTTCCCCAACGTTTTTACAATATTGAACAATATTGTTTCGCGATATTGAATATACGTTATTAAAGGGTCCATTTTTATATAGTACAATGTTTCGCTACGATATTCTACAGTGTTCAAAGATAAGTTTTTACGCTACTTGGGAGAAGTAAAAAGCGGTAAAGTTCGTTCAATTAATATTAATAAAACATTAATAGGAAGAAAAAAATTCTGCTTGAACGTTGAAATAAAAAATATACAACTGTTCGCTTCACAAGGCACCTACTGTCATTAACTTTCTACACTTCATCTTCTTTAATAATTAATCTAGCGTGCAGCATAAGGAAAATTGTTCCTTAAACATCTCCGTTGTGAGTACAAAAATGTGCATTGTTTTAGTGACACAAAATTGACAAAGGAAATTCTTCTTCTGCCATAATGCACGAAACAAAGACACGATTCCTCATGTATAGAATGATGAGAGACGTCTCTTCAAGCAGGACAAATTTTGGCGTTAGCAAGTAATAAGAAAAATAATTACCAATTTTGG